TTGTTACATATAAAGTATTCTAATGCTTCTCTACATTCCTTAAATGTATAAACATTCTCATTATTTATAACGTCAATATGCTTTGTGATATCCATCATAAAGTAAGGATCTAATTAATGAAATTATAGCCGTCTTTTCAAAGAAAATCCGAGAGATTAAAATAAGCGAGTATTTGACTCATAATTCCATATTGAACTAGTGGAAGTAATTCATTAGTTTTTGTTCATGTCGTTTTTCTATATTTCATGACTACATTATTTACAGCAGCTTACTTCGGTAAGTTTGAAGAGTTTTATGAATTGTATAAAATTGAATTGAAAGAATATGAAAAATTTGATGATCATTATGACTTAGATGATATGCAATTTTTGTCTAGATGTATAGTTAGAGGAGTTACATATAATTTTGAATTTGCTAGAAAATTACATAATTCTGATTTAGCTTTATCTGAAAGAATATGTAGAGCAATATCAGGAAGATTTATTATGAGCAATTATTTAGAAGAAGAATTTATTAAGCCCTTTTGTATTTGGTATCCAGATGTTCCTTCTAAAGAAACCTGTGTTAGTATTGCAAAAAAGTTTCCTCAACTTGTTGGTATTGTTTGTGTTTTAATGAATTGGAATGATATTTATGATTCTTTGAATATTTATCCTATGAGATATATTTATAATTTAGCAAGGCTAATAGATAGAACACATATAGCTGAAGATCAATGGAGAAAAAGTGAAAAATATAATGGGTTTTTTTGTTTTTATTCAAGAAGTCCATCAGCAGAGTTTAGAGATGAGAGAGAATATGTTCTAAAAGACTATTTACCAATATATAATTCCAGGTTTCATGAAGAAAGTTTAATGGATTATTGTAATTACAATTATTTTGATTCAGATGAAGTATGCTCAACAGGGCTAATGGGTTGGAATAATTTATCTCAAGGAAGTTTTGAAGGTAATCTTATTCTTGATAATGTGAAAACTCATAAATTTAAACAAATAGATAGTTGTCAAACTTATTCAGATTATCTATCGAAATTTATTAAGCAATAGAATATTTTGTTTGCAACAG